AAGTTTTAGAAACGCACATGAAGATAAATGTTAAGAACATATTTAATGTGGCACAAAGCAACTGCTGCCAAATACTCCAATTTTTTTTTTCGATTTCCTAATTAGTTGGTACACTTTCTGAAAATGCAATAAAATATAAGTGGTATTTTGGTAATGCGATATTGACCAACCGTTTTCTGTTTGTCAAACGCAGTGGCCAAGCAAGGCAAATGGTTTTTTTATTTATTCCACAGTTGGGATAACGCAGTGACTTGCGTGAAAGAAATGTTTGTATTTCACATGTTTTATATGTCCTTATAGCATGCTTTGATTTCATTTATAGTTATATATATCCTCATAACATGCTTTACTTTTATTAATAATCATGAACCCTGTGGCCTCCAATAGCAAAACAAGCCATCATGGCCACGTATGTAGCCATGTAGTATAAATAAAGTTTTACATTATTTTACTTGCAACATCTCACTGTGACGTGTTTAAACTTGTAATTGTTTTTCCTCTGATCGTTGATGTCCGCTGTTTTGTTGTAAAGTGTTAAATGTTTTATATAAAGTTCAGAGAAGATCCAAAGTTATGTGACGTGACATGAGGTAGTCGAACCATGGTCTTGTCTGCAAATGGATAGAGGTGCTGAACAAATTTGGGAACCACTGGTTTAACATCATCTTTTTCTTTATTATTTATACCACCAATAAACTGAGAACATTAGAACTGGCTGTAAAGGACAGAAGATGGTCAACATTTTGCAGTTGCTATCGTCTGATTCTGCTCTTCATGGTGCATCAGACATTTTCAGTGGGAGACTAATCTGCTGCAGTTGCACGAGGCAGACACACACACACACACACACACACACACACACACACACACACACACACACACACATACATACTTTGTCTGCAGAGTCTCGCTTTTGTAATTCCTGTAGAATGAAGCCTGGCGTTGTCCTGCAGCGAAATCCGTGAAGGTCTTGGGAAAGCATGTTGTTTTGACAGGAGCATATGTCTCACTGATAACTTCCTCTTCTTCCTCCTGCTCCTACCTTCCACATAACTACAGATACTAGCTTTAACAACAGTCTTGATGGTGATGTCCAATATCCATTTTCTTTTGGTCTTTCTCATACAAGCTTTTGCTCAGAGGACGGTGTCTTTGATATATGTTTCTTCTTTGCAGAACATATCGTTAGTCTGTCCCACACTCCACATATTCAGCAGCAGTTTCTGCTTTGGTTTTCACAAAACTCCAGATCAACTTTCAGCTTCGCCAACATTCTTTTGCAGAGTTAGAGGTTGAGTGGTTATGTGGTAATGTGTAAGTTTTCAGTAAAAACAATAAATAATTCTGTTTTATCTTAGCACACACCAACTCTTGTAAAGTTCAGCATAAAACAGTAAACCTTAGCCCCTCGTCGTTAGCAAGGACCTAGCTAAGGTCCTCTTGAAACACTCAGAGCTTGGCCTATGTGACTTTCAGCTTCCTTTCTGTCATTTTTTAACTATGTTCAGACAATAATCATCAGAACTGTGTCAATGTTCAGGTTTAAAAGCATGAATGTAGTGGTGTAATTGGTTATGGCCGTACTTATATGACAGTATGCTGCAGAGCAATGCTGAAGTTGTGAGTTTGAGCCTCACAAGGAGCACATGTTTTCTGTAATTTCCCAGCCTGGAATCTTAGAAGTGTATCTATCTATCTTTTTTTAATTTATTTATTGCCCTTTTCACATGATTCAACTGCAACAAATGTAGTGTCATGTAGTTTTTATTGCATTTTCAGAAAGTGTACCTTTTTTTTCTGTAAAATAAATTTGTACTGAACACATACAGTTCATCACCAACCTTGTCCATGGGAAGATTGTAACACCAGCAAACTTTCTTTTCAACTACACTTAATACTCAAGGTAAAAATCTTATTTTATCACACGGTTCAGTGTCCATTTAAAGGACATTGATATCATTCATAAAACTAAAAGAGTACCTGGAGTTATCTATGTAAACTCCATCTGTAGGTATGGTTACAGCACAGCTACAGTGCTGAGGTCCATGTTACCGCAGCAGTAGCATCATCAGCAGCATCAGCAGCATCAGCCTAATTCCCATGCTTTTCACAAGTGTTGTCAGTGATGTGTTACAGTTCTGCTTCCGACATATTGCTCTGTTTCATTTGTTCCCCCGGTGTAGTGGTAAATGAACCCACTAGCTCAACGCTATTGCAAGGTTAGTATTCTGCACCAGCATGCACTTCGTCTGTCATGGATCGAACGTATTAACTGCATGCTGGGACATGACGAACATTACCATTTTCACAAACTGGAAGCTAAGATGCAGTGACACTTTCTACTGCACATGATGAGAGGAGACAAGTAATTTTTTAGTTCATATCAAAACTGTGCTGCTTTAATCACTTCTCCCCTGTTGGTTTTATGAATCGATATATTAGCGCTACGGCACAATCGTATTTGTGTCTTTGTGAAAATGGTCAATGTATCCTGTGACACTAACAATGATTCATCTTTGTTTTCCTGTAAACCTAACTGCATCTCTATGGGACCTTGGCTTCATTCTGATTTGATTTGATTTTTTTGCATGTACATTTGGACAATGTAAGTATCCATTTTTTTTTTCCACTGTCGTCTTTTGTGCTCGTTTGACTTTATGTGCTGTTGTGTAGCATTGTAGTTGTACATGTGCTCAGAAATTAAAAACGCCTAGAGCAAATACATCCAGCTGCAGGAACTCTCCAATAGCAAGTCTTTCTTTAAGCAATTTGCAAAAACTGTGTAAATATGTGTAAATAATTTGGTAGATTTTTTTTTTCTTGTCAGTGTGTATAAAACTGCCTGTAGGACTGTTTAGATCTAAGAACGTCTTAGACTGCTTTTTACTGCCACATTATTCAAGCAACCTCACACCAACCACAGTAGTGGAAGTGTGTTAATGGCTTTTATTTTTACTGTGAATAAACGTCATTATTTTAATTAGCCATATGCAGGATTAGGATTAATCCGGTGTGGCAGGGTAATTGGATAGATGCCCCAAAGGAACCTGTGATAAACTTGTGGAAATAAGTGCTCATTGTGTGACAAGCTTCAAAGTAAGGGTCCACGTTTGACCTTAATCCCTACACAATGTGTTCATTAAGGAGGAACTCGCCTCAACCAGAACAATACCATAATAGAAATATTAGAAAGGTCAGGTTAGATTTTTTTCCCTAGACTATATTAACAAAACACAATATTGTCTCAATGGACAACAGTTTTGACATGAAAATTAAACATTATATCATTTAATTATATAATTAGGAAAGAAAATAAGACGTAAAACTGCAGGAGTTCCTGCAGGACAGTAAACAGGTTTAGTGTCTATGTTCATGGCTAGTATTTTTTCATTATTTCAAATTCCATCTGACCATAGCAAAGACAAAGCATCAATTGAAAAAAAAATATCTTTGGGTTTATAGATTACATCAAAGTGCTAGAAATGCACCTTTGATGGAAAGGTTACATTTAGTCGAAGCTCAAAACGCTGAGCAACGGCCAGTTCCAATCCATAACCACAGCATCAGATCTGATAAACATCTAAACCTCAAACTTTAAATGTTGAGAGAAAAGTTTGTTTTGTGTAACTGATGTAGAAGTAAAGTAAAAGTGACCTTTTTTTTTTTACATATAATAATATAATATGTATAATACAAATAAACAAATAATCCTACAACATTTTTAAATATACTGTAACTGTGTGTGACAGATACTTACAGGCAAAGCAATAGAGTAAAACCAAAGTCAAATCAAAAGACATCCAGTATTAAGTCAAGTTGACCACAGAAGCTTCACTGCATGCCTTAAACTGCTTCCTTTTTCCTTTTTTTTTTTTTTTTTTTTTTTTGTCTCATCAGGACCGAGAGCAGTTCAGGACGGCAGTGGTGGCGCAATCGGACTGCAGTCGCACACCTTCCTCCTCTTCATAGTCCTCCTGCCGTTGCTTCTCCGATTTTAAAGAGGATTAAAATTCAAAGTGTCCGTGTGTGTGTTTGTGTCTGTGTGTGAATGTGTTTTTGTGTGAGTGCCTGCGTGTGTGTGTGTGTGTGTGTGTGCATGTGCCATAGCTGTTGGCCAGAATTTTTATTTTAACTTACATTGTTACTTTTGGCATAGAATAAACATAATTGGATTTTTTTCATAGTTTTTTTCAAATATCAGTAACAATCATTTTACGTATTGATTTGTTGGCATATTTCTTTAAATTATATAATTCTGGAAGGTCTCTTCTATGTGTACAAAAAATGTGTGTATGCATGTTTTGATGAATGGAGCTTCTTTTAATTAATTGCAATTTACATTAATTTTACCTACACTAGATTCTCATTTCAACACCAGGAAAAAGGCAAAATTACAGCATGTATGAGAGGTGAATGTTAAATACCTCAAAGTCAAAATGAGACAGTGGAACAGAAGGAATGGAGGCTGCCCTGAGGCCAAAAGCCTGGTATTATCATATTTTAATGTATAATAATTTTTATTCAGTCCAGTTGTTGGAAGCTAAATTATTTCTGACCTTCAAGTGTTTATGTTCGCAGCATTTTAATGTTAATGTTGGTAATCACATGGTCACTATTGTTAAATTTTTTCTGAGTTTTTTTTTTTTTAGTTTTTTTTTTTATAGTTTTAAAACATTTGATAAGGGAAAACACAAAGCTGAAAAAACAGCCTAGTTCAATGTCCTTGTTGTGTTTTTCTTTACCAGTACAGTTGTACACAATAATGTGTTGAGAATAATTATGCTATAATTAAGTAGGAGGGAGCGCAAGGATGTGACCTGAGTAATGCAAATGTACTAATGCTGTTGCTACTTGTTTGAAAACAAAACAAAAAAAAAACATGCAATTTTTACAAAACATATTTGAGGAAATGATTCTGTACATGTTCCAAACCAGCGGTGGGAGGTCAAAGACCAGTCATTTGAAACCATGTCAACAGAAAATAAACACTGCATGCATTTAGACACCAATGACCCAAAGACTGAAGGCATTTATACGACATCATGCATCTTTTATGTTAATGTTTTTCCTCATTATTGTGTTTTTGCAAACAAGAAGGTTTTACTTGTCTTTAAACTGGGGACATAGTGTTGGAAACGGTGTCCATGGTTATTTCAGGCTTTTTTTTAATTTATTTATTTTTAAATGTGACCCTAACAAGTACATGCTGCAGGCATACAACACAATAACTGTATTTCTACAGTCTAATGTCCACTTAAAGCGCACTGCTATTGAGCCATTCCACATGCTCAACATCCAATCATCATGCAAAGCTTTTCCTACACAAGTCACCAAAGCCTAAACTTCCAGGAACAACTTCTGGGTAGGGGTTCTTGCCCATGGACACACTGTCATGTAGACTAGCAGAGATGGGAAGTAAGGCTTTGTCTTGTTCCTTCATTTTGGAAGGCAACCCAGTAAATTAGCTTTGTGTCTGTAAGTGGTTTACATTGTCCTGAACTCTGACTCTGAACATAATTCTGACCTTAGGTTCCTTGTTTTTTGTCCTTACCTGACCTTTAGCCTGTTAAAATCCACGTAAAGTGTGCACTACTGCGATCCTCATGTTTGACCTGTTTAACTTTACTTTCTAATTTGCCCTGTTTTCTGACACATGCAATGTAAATGATCTTCAGAAGGCACAAACAGTACTAGCTAAATAGAAACCAGAGTGCATTTATACATAAGAATGTGAAGGCCACACAGGAGCAGGTAGAAATGTTTAAGTATGGCCCAACTTAAAAAAAAATCAATTTCTATTCATACAATACATTTGCTGTGCTGAGAATATAGTCCATTATTCAAATGTGTTGTTCTCAAGGCCATATGGAGAAAAAACAAGAGTTTTTAGCAGTAAAAAAAAAGGCTAAGTCTAAATGAAGAAAAGGCAAAAAACATTTTTCGACCATACCTAAGCAAATACTGCTCTAGTGATGGGTTTCTGTGAAATAGCCACTGTCAGTAGACATAAACAATCGCATCCACTCTTTCAGTTCACATAAAAAAAAAAAAAAAATGAGCACACTCCTTACAGATTTTAAGACGATTTACTGTATATACACCCTTTTGCATACATTCCTTTGAAAGATGTCCAAGCACATATGTTGAAAACTGGGTTGTTATTTAAGTGTTTTAGTTCTTCTGAGCAGTTGTTCGGTGAGACATCTATATGCCATACTACCTTAACTGAGATGTGGTGATTACTGTGCAGTGAAACGAATGTTGCTTGTTCACAGAAACCCTTGAACACCTCACGGCTGCGATTGTGTGAACAGCAGCTCTCCACAGCACACAGACAATTATATTCTCTTTGCTTAATTTTATAAATTATACCTATTTGGGTTTGTTTCCTTAATGTAAAAAGTAGAAACCACACTTTAGTTGGGTTTTGTTGTTAATTTTAGCATTTAACTGTTTCTACGCTAAGTGTGTTCCCTGCTAAATAAACAGGTGCTAAATAAACAGGTGCTAACACCTGTTTATTTAGCAGGTGTCAGCACCAATCTTATCACTCTACAGGGTTTTGCCCCATTCTGACATGTAAGAAACATTAACTTGAGCGATGGGGTTTAAAAATCCTGATGTCTGAAAGATTCTTTTCAAAAAGCTGTGATCGTCACTGAATTGCAACATTTTGTCATTCTGGAAATGTGATGTAAAAAAAAACTAAGAGAAAGTCAAGCACTATAGCTAGCTTATATAGCATATTGTCAAATTAATTATACATAAGAGTAATATACGAAAGATAAACAATAATTATCTTGCCTGCTAGCTAACATTAGTGAGACTCCTTTTCCCTCTATTGCAATCCACGGAGAAAACTGAGTGAAAACCTAAAGAAGATTTAATTTGTACATTTTATTACTGCCTATACTTTACTCAAAGGCAGTAATGTGGATGAGGTAAAGCTGGCAGAGCCAACCATTTTTTTCAACATCGGATCAATAAATCCTACATAACCCTACTGTATATTACATATCGAGTGATCTGGAGTAAGCCTAATTGAAAGAGGAGACATTTAAAGGATAATCTCGGACATAGAGCCCTTGTGATTTATCGGGCATTTATGAAACGAAACATCTAGGACAGATATCTTCAATGTCAATATATTAGTGAACTAATCTCCTGTCAGTAAAAATAAACAATCAAACCTTCTTTTTAAGAAACTATGTCTATAAGAATGTTGCAGACAAACTAACTTTCTGAATTGCATTACATTAGCCATTTTCTTGATGTTTTCTTCCTGCACAACATTGTAAAATCAGACATCCGTCCTATTAGAGTGAATGCAAATGTTTCGAGTTCCCACAAATCTTGACTAAAAAAAAAGGATATGTAAATGATACAGTGTTTCCCAGCCCAGCCGAACTTCTAATCATAAATCCTAGCAACACATGGAAAGCCTGTCAAAAATACACAAGTCATATATTTCTGATGCACCGTCGAGTCCAGCTCTGAAGCTGCTCTGTGCGATGGATTTAAATCTTTCTGTTGCCATCCAATTGTGGTCCTGGAATTTTGAATCACAGCCATGAGTGCTACTGTTCTGGCATTGCATATTGAGGTTGAAATAAGTTGATCAGTCTGAAGGGTTAGGGATGCATTTTTTTTTTCTGTCTTGGTGTTGGTATGTGCAAGACAAAAGCGCAGTGTTTCTATAAAAATTTGATACAAGCTAAAAGCAGAAATGACTGAGATTCTGTTGCACCTACAAGTTGAACGTTTTATTAATTTTAGATGTTGTGACATTCGTGTGGTTTGCATTGTAGTTCAAAAGAGGGGACATTTTAAACGGGAACTCTGGATGGATATGAGGATTCACACGTTTCTTATCTCAGCAGCCGGGGAATATCACAGAAGACGCATGACACTGTCTCAGATCCTCCTCTTTGCCTGGCTACGAGTTCACCGAGTCCTCTTTAAATGGACAGTTAACACGTGGAGGAAAACGAACTGTTTGCCTCCCTGCATTGTAAAGATCCATATGTATTTTCTTGATGAAAGGTGTGCTCATATTTAAGACTGGGAAAAATAAAATGTTGTATCTTATCGTTGGGTAGTTTCAGTTTGTCAAGTGTTTTTCTTCAACAATCACAACATTTAATATGTTTGTGTTGAAGGTCGATGCCATCCATACATTTTACTATGGCTCTGTGCTATTTGATAGGCTCAGTCTGAGGGAGTGAAATGTCACTCTGTTCTTGGTATTGACCACTGCCATTAACCCCATCTTTTACTGAAAAAACCTTCTAGGTTTGTGGGAGGAGCCAATCCTGGGCAGTTCACCAGTCCATCACAGGGCCAGAAATAGAGGCAACCAGTCAAACTCGCATACTCTATATAGGTATGTTCAATTGACACATAATCCTGCATATGTTGAACTTTGCTGAAATATGTGGAGAAAACTCATTCAAAACATTCAAAGCGTATGCAGAAGACTGGGGATTGAACCAGCGATCTTCTTTCACCAAGGCAAGTGAGCTATAATCCCCACACGTAATGTCATTTCATATTAGTCAAACTAAATAATCTTTTCAATTGCAGTAAAAAACAGTTTTTCATTTCTCTTGGTTGATCAGTCAGTATTCAGTAACTGAACCCTTAAGCAGGTCTTGCAGAAGGATCGTCATTTCGGCAGAAATATGTCTGCAGTTGGTGAGTTTATTTTTTAAATTTTATCTTCAGCGTGTAGGTTTACTGAATCTTAATGGTCATAAAAAAACAAATAAACTATTACCAATTATTGAAATCTACACTGTTTTCCCTCATTGAAAAGCAGTAATAATAACTGGTTGTAACTAATTTTTTACCATCTAAACCATTGATACATAACCTTATATTTCGTCATGTTTAATTTCAAAGATTGTAGGAAAATAAATTTTTAAGATCAACCGGTTGTCAATGAGAAAATCTTCATTTTAACACAAAAGTAAATGCAAAAATCAGATAAAAATGACTTTGTTACATTTGCAGCTCTGCTGGTAACTGTCAGTGTTGGTGTTTGAGACAGCATCTCTGTTGTTGTTGTTGTTGGTTTGCAGGTATGCCAGGGGTTACAGTGTGAAGTTGTTTTATGTTTACTGTGCACACTGGAAGTCTCACTGGATAATTCATTGCAGACAATTAAGGCAATGGTTCCTGGAACTGTGCAGCTTATGCTACAAAGGTGGAGGAAGAGGAATGGAGTAATTTTTATAATAAGTTCATATGGCCACTGTAAATTTGAACTGTGGCTTTTATACCTATTTCTATAATATTACTACATATACTCTCTCCTCTTTTTATGGGGCATAAAACCCATTACTCCCTCATAAATGGCGACAATGGTATCAATGTCCTTTTATGCAGGGCTGCCGACAGACTTTAAGAGGGGCACGCAGACAACACAGGCTCGTACAGTGGCACATATCCAGTAACAAGGCAAACCTATTGATTTCTGTCTCCCTGCTGACCTTGAACTAGTCCATCTACTCTATTCTGGTCCATGTACTCCATTACCAACAGCATCCAGCAGCACTGCACTAAATGACGCCAACGTGTTCTCGCCTGAACAGTGTACTTTAAAGATTCTTATACATCTATTATGTATAACCACAGCAGGACGTCTGCTATGATACTCTTCTCTGTGAATGCTAATTGCATGACCTAGCTGTGCGCGAAGAACGAAGAAAGGAAATTTACTTTTCTCTATTAATTCTGCATAAAGAAGAACATATAAGTAAGTAGTAAGTAGAAAAATACTCGGTTTCCGCCTGGAGTCATTCCCATTATTGAAACACATCACATAAATCACATCACATAAATCACATCACATAAATAACTGAAGCATGTGCATAATATGTTGAGTGTTTGTTTTTTTGTTTTTTTCGCATTTTTGACAAGAGTGTTAAGGAATGATGATACACCAAAGCTGTACTTCGGCTTCAACAAATATTTAATTCATGCACACAGCTGCTGTCTGAGGCTGAGTCGCTCAATACACCAGAGGCAAGTGGAGGCTGTGACACTGTTACAGATATAAAAGTTTTATTTATTTGCCTAGTGTGAGGAACCACCCAAAATTACATCGTACACAAAAACGCCCTTTAAAAAATAGCAATAAAAAAAAGCAGTGCAGCACCTTATTACAGCCCTGTGGTGTAAATATGATAAAAGCAACAAGAGATGTGACACAGAGATATGGATGGATCAAAGGGGTCAATGCTGAATATTCAGGAGGAAATTGACTCTCATGTGAAGGGGCAATAGCAGCATATACTGTATGTAGTGTTGTGTGTTTTCCCTGTCATACTATGTGATCCAGAAAATCCTCCTATTAATACACAAAACAACACAGACTTGGACATGCACACAGATATGAGATATGATCTGTTTCTTGTCAGGGGCAGTGCTGGCTAAGGTGGTTAAGGAAGCAGACTTGGGTCCAGAAGGTTTCAGGTTTGAGTCCACCGGCTGCCAAGTTGCCACTGAGGTGAGGTGAGATTGAACTGCCCCCCTGTTCACTTTGGTGATGGGTTAAACGCTGAGGTCACAGTTCGTTGTGTGTGAAGTAGTGTGCTGTGTCACAATGACAAGTAGTTCAGTTTTACTAATACCACAGCCTGACTAACAATACCGCCTTAAATTATTTTATGTATTTTTTTTAAATGTATTAATTGATCATTTACTGCTTGAATCTATCAAACCTGTGATACTACTTACCATATGAAAAGACGCTACACTGTGTGGCCTTTTTAAATCAGGGAAATACAGGAACTAAATAATAGATGACCAGTCAAGGTATATACTTAGTTTTTGACTTCTTTTCCATATTTTAAATTACTAGGTACTACCAAATATACAATTACCCTCTTTTAACATCAACCCTTTGAAAAGGCCACAGTGAAACTACTGTAATTCTCACATAAGTGAAAATGTATTTTCAATAGGCCACTGAAATGACTGTTAGTCTCATCAAATGCTTGAGTGAACCTAAAGAGAAGGAGGAGACATTTTCTTCAATTTGACATCATTGTAACATTTAGAAAGAAAACCCAACAAAAACAAATACTACATTGGCTTTTTATGCTGTTGTGCTGTGATAACAAGAAGGGAGGCTTACATTATGTTTAACATACTGTATGGACACATTTGGATATATTAAATTAAAAGATTTATTTTGAAGGTCAAAGGTCATTGTTGGTTTGACATAATAATATTAATAACAGTTTGTTGTTTATCATGTAAAGCTGTTTATGTCCTGCCACCTGGAAAATACAGCAGTCTATGTTGGCCAAATGAATTTCAGCTTTTTATATATATATATATATATATATCATCATTGTATAGAATGGAAGGCAAATGGCATGGAGGGAAAATGTTTCTGTCAGCAAAGGCTTTCAGTGACTTGGTATTTCATTTTGGGTCAGCATTAAATGGCAGTTTTCATGTAAATTAGATTTTAAATTACTTTGGAGCAGGTCAAGTTTTGCCTATAGATATCACAGGATTCTTGGGTGCAGATGAAAAATGTCTTGTCACAGAACTGTGTAGTGTACACATTTACTATACCTCCTTTTCAGCGTTTAAATTGTCCTTGCCAGTAAATGTTTTATTTATAATTTATTTAATTAATTAATTTATATATATATTTCAACTACCTAGTAAAATGTTGTATGTAGTCAGTGGCACAAGGATAATTTACAGTAGACTGTTGGACAACAGACATGTGCAACAGTGGTGTGGGATACTGCAAGATTAGTTGATCCAATACCAAGTAAAAACGGACCAGTATCACCTCCAGTACTCCAATACTTTTTTATTAATTCCAGTCAATGCATCAATAGATTGCTAAAATTGATTTTTAAGGTAGTTTTTAAACCAAAATAAAAAAAAAAAGGGAAATTCCCTCTTTGTTTCCATTTCTTTAAACAAGATGTACAGAGCAATCAACAATATTTAAAACAACGTTTTATTTTTCATTTCCAAGTACAACATGTGCAGAGGGAATAAACTAATAATGAAGTCTGTAGTTCATCGAGTTACTGCATAGCTTAAACACAGTAATCATACAGTAGCCCTTTTCAGAGTAAACACATAATAGTATTTATAATATATTCAGCCAAGAGGTATATTTGTTTCAATTATAGACCACATGTCAATGTATTCAAGACCTTTAAATAAATTATTTATATATTTTGGCTGAAGTAAAAAACGGACGACAATTTTTACTTGTAAAATTAATACCAACTTATACTGAGGATAAAATAATACTTTCATTACTATTATCTACCTGGATATTTTGCCCTTGCGTCAACAATCATCAATATTTGAATCAATCAGCCACCCCATCCGAAACAGCTGAGCACAGCTGCTCATTAGGAGGGTCTCTGGTATCAACTTCATGAAGACAGCCTCATTGGTTGTCTTCATGAGGTTGATACCAGTGTCGTTGGTCTACATTGTAGATGTATTTTGTATTACATCTGTTATATCATGATATCATATAAACATTGTCGTGTAATACCCACATAAACACAAGACACTCGCCTACAAGCACAGTTAAAACAACACAGCCCGAGAGGCATAGGTAAACAAACTGCAGAGAAGTATGTAAACACATAAAACCAGACATCAGCATGTACAAAGACAGCAGCATGTGTGTCGAGAGTAAATATTCCCAGGAAGTGACTAAGATTTTCTGAGCTAAAAGTAAAGAACTATCAAAGTTATATTTGACTTTTCCTTTTATGTTTACTGCTTTACCTCGAAATTATTATCCACAGCAACAAAACTACCTCTGAGCATGCTTCAGTGAGTAGCAGATGTGAAGAAGAGAGTGGTAAATTACCATTTAAAGGTGAACGCACAAATACTGTTCATAACGGCTGATAATCAAATGTGTATAATATGCAGTCTTGCTCAATCCTTTGTTGCTGTTTTTCCATCCAAAGCATCTCACTGCCCTTTCATTTAGACATCAAAGAACAAACTCATTTACATATATGTTCAATAATGTGCTCTTTAAGGCAGGAGAAATGAACTAAAAAGCTCATTCTTAACAGTAAT